CAAGGAAAGAGCTTTCAAGCGGCAGTTCGTGGAGTATGCTGGGGAGAAACTGCAGCTCATCGTCAGCTACACAGGCTCAAACTGCAGCCACCAAGTCCAGCAGTGAGTTCCCTATATTCCTTATGGAAATTCTGTTGTTTGGGGTTTTTTTTTAATGCTAATCCTTGTTAAAAATGAAGATAACTAAAATTAAAAAATAAAGATAAATAAAGATTCCTTGTTAAAAATAAAGATAACTTCATGCTGAATTCTAGATTTAAAAAAATGTAATCACACATATTTTAGAATAATATTACTTTTATTTTGACTATGTAGTGTTTGGGTGCTGTTAGGCATTAGTCTTAATGTACTTCCATGCCTCAAATCAAAATGCTCTGACATATTCTTGTGCAGAAGTGGAAAGATGAGTGTCTGAGTCACGATACCATCATCCCATTCATCAAAAGGATTTATTCCTTGAATGTGCTGCTTGATCTTGCTTTCCATCATATTCAACTCTTCTTGTTTCATAGAGAGCTTGCTGGAACGTTCGCTCATTTGTGTCAGCAAGTGGATGTCACACGGGAGAATCTTGAGCAAGAAATTTCTGCCATGAATAAAAAAATTGAAGTTTTGGATTCACTGCAGAGCAAAGCAAAACTGCTCAGGTGAGATTTGATTATTCCATACAATTGTTTTTCATGTGACTGCCCCAGAATGTTCATATGAGCTGTAGTTTAGTTCATTCTGTCTTTGTCATAGCACTTGATGTGCAGGTGTCAGCTTTTTTCCCTACCAAGTAATGTTCCCGTTCACTAGGTACTTTCCTATGGACTGTTGACAGTCATTTCAAGCTTCTGTCTCACAAACCACCTTTTTCTTCCTGTTTTTTATTTGTTTGGAATTACAGTTCCTTCCAAATTATGAAAACATACAGTCTTCCACTCCTACAAACTCCTTCAGGCCCTTAAAAAATTACACAAAAAGTCTTGCCTTCACCTTTGTATGCAGTTACCTGCAGAGGCTGTTGGGAAGACTTCTTCAAACATTCCTTACCTACACAGTAAGACCAGTGTGAAGTTGTGTCCAAGATCTCTGAACCTCAGAGCTTAGGGACTGACAGCAGGCAAGCATTCTTGACCTGCAAGGAATGGCAGCAGCCTTTTGGAATGAACCTCTGGCACTCCATGTCTTGCCATGTACTTGTTTTTGTTGCACTTCTTTCTGACTGGCTTGAGAAGAGCTGTTTCATTCACCTAACAAAAGTTTCTGTCCTTGCAGGAACAAAGCAGGTTGGCTTGACAGCGAGCTCAACATGTTCACACATCAGTACCTGCAGCAAAGCAGATAGTGTGAGAAGAAGAGAAAAACAAGAGTTTTCCTTCAGTCCTCTCTTAATTACTGCAGAGAACATGGTGGGTGATGGAATTCCCTAAAGGGAATGAGCAAGAGCACATCGCTGTGTTTCCAGTTGCTGTGTGAACAGTAGGATTCTGCTTCCCTGTTCTGTGTCCCACCTCTAAACACTAGCTGTTAATAACTCTTCTTTTTCCTTGTGAGACCAGCCTACTTGAGGAGGAGTGTGTGCTTTATACATTTACAGGGGGCTTTTACTGTTCTTCATTTTGCTTTAAACAAATTTAAAGCAGTCAAGCAAATGTTTGTCAAGTTGAAAGTTATTATGACACATCTTTATGGAGTCATTTGTTTTACTTCATAAAGACAAAACTTTTGACTTCTAAGCCCCAGGTTGATGTATGTGTGACAAGCAGCTGTTTGACTAAACACAGATCCCACGCACACAGACGTGATGGTTTCACAAAGCATTTATAGCCCACACAGGCTTGTCTCTGAGGTTAATATTCCATTATTCTAGAACATAACAGAAAATCACAATGTCCCTTCATAGAAAGGTTTATTGCTCTCAGGATGCTTAAACCTGTGAATAAAACCCAGTTCTCTTCTGGAGCAAGAGGGACTAAGATTTTGCTTTGGTAAGCTTAGTGAATTTGGAGTTAGTTTCTTCCTCCTAAGAGCTCTTTAATAACACAGTCCTGCCCATTTCCTGTCATGGACAAATAGTTTGCAAGGACAGAACTAGTTCCTGTGAAGGAGCTAATTTGGAATAATTTGGCAGTTTGTTGAGGAGGAAAACTAGGAAAGAGAAGCCAGTTGACAGAATGTAAAGCACTGCACTATGAGCTCAGTTGATGAATGTGGGTTTTCTTTGGAAAAGCACAGCTGTGTTTCTGGAAGCAGGCCTGTGGAATTCCATTACCACTATTTGGCCACAAGAACAGCATGTGGATTTCACGCTGTAAGAGATGTTGCTTCATGTAGAGTTCCCACAGGATGTTACAGTCCGGGCAGCAATAGGATTTGATATGTTTCTCTTCTGTTAAAAGTACCAGAACCTGCTGGCAAGTACAGCTCCTCTGGGGTGGGGGAGTCGTGGTCTTGTAGGTCATGCCAGGTCAAGAATGGCTTAAAGCAACTTGTTTTTTTTTCAATACATTCTTTATTTGCAAATACATGAAATAAATTGTTGAGTTTTGCCCTGATGCATTTGGAGTATAATATTTGGTAATTGTAAGGACTTGAGTCTCTTCCTGTTGGAATTGATAGAGAAGAAATTATTGCTGATTTTAGAAACCTGAGTAGGATTAAGTTCCTCTGTTGCAAGCTTCTTTTCCTCTTTGTGGGTCAATATTTTGCCATGTGTTGGTTATAATCTTTCTGTTGCCTACAAAATGTCTGAGGAATCCAGGATCAGATCCTGTAGTTCTGAGGTTAGTGACAACCTAAATTTCTTCAACATCACACACAGAATATGGGCTATCTCTGATCAGGTCCCAGCTGAATTCAGAATTACTGAGCAGTGAGGTGTTTTTCTTATTGACAAAGAGACTTTTCCCTTGGAAATGGCTTTAGGAGTTCTCCTTCATGCTCAGGTGTGAATATATGCACCTGTGTATATAGTCCTGTGTTTTTCATATCAGGGAAGTTTCAGAAAGAAGCTGCCTGATACTTGAGGGAATAAAAATAGTGAAATGTCAGTAACTACTTCTTAGGTAAAGCTATTCTGAGATTTGCAGAAAGACTTGAAGTGTCTTGATTGTGTAGGAGCTGGTGGTGAGACTCTTTCATCCCTGGAATGCAGAAATGAAACAAACCTTTCCCTTCCAGTAGTGCTTTGACTCCAACTCAAACTGAAAAGCTGTTTATATCAGAAAGTTTTTTTGACGTTGACTGGGTTCCTCAGGCATCCACTAGGATGGGAATATAGATTTGCAAGAATGAAATTCAAGTCCTTTCTTCTGGAAGTGTGTACTCTGAGCTTGTGCTGAAGTATATTGGAGTAAGTGGAATCACCTAGTCTTATTCTAGTGTAGGTCTGGTTGAAAAAATTTGAATCTTTAGTCTCTCAAGATGTCACATACACAGTTATAATAATCTATGTTCTGTTCTATTCAGTTGAAATCTTAAGTGCATCCCTAATACACAAGGATATTGTCAATTCCAGGTCAAGGCAGAGGATGATGTACTACTGCTCAGCAGCTCATGACTACTTGAAATGCTGACCTTGCTTTTGAAGAGGTAGTGTTAGCATCTCCCCAGTGGGCCCTTAGGGGAAATCTGATAAATGAGTTGATCTTTAAGCCAGTGTCTTATCTGTGAAGGGAAAAGAGATTGGTGGGTTCTTAGAACCTGGTGTCTTGCTGCTGTGTGTGTGTGACTCTGCTCAGGCCGGGCTGCTGTCAGCATTTTCACTGCAGAGCTGTAGCCTAACCTACAGAACGGGGGAAAGAACCACTTGAACTTTTTCAGAAGCAAAGCTGCTAACATGTGTGGGTGTAGCCCTTGTCCTGGAAGTCAAGTGATCAAGAATCAAACTTTTAACAGACAGGCCTATAAGCTGGATTTGTCTGAAACAAATTACAGCTGTACTTCTTTAATTGAGAGTGGTGGAAGAATGAACACTAGCATGAGGAGTTTGTTCTCTTCTGATTTTCATGAAGAATGCTAAACTATTCCTTAAAACAGGTAATTCCAAAAACAGTCTTCCCCAATCTCCCATTAAAGAAGGTCAGCTAAAAGCACTTTTATCTTATTGCTGCTACTTACTTTTCCTGTTGCATTATGTTGATGGAGCTCTTTGAAATACTCTTACCAGTGAAGTTTCTCTCTGCTGTATTTAAGGTGATAAATTTGCATGAGTTAGTCCTGTAACAGTGCTGTAAACAATGGAAACCAAAATAAAAATTAATTGGAAAAACATTTCTCCTGATGTGTCCTGCACATTGTGATACAGTGTAAGTTTATCAGCTTACCATCAGTATGTATAGCTTTGCTGCTTTGTGGTACTGAATTGCATGTTTGACAATTCTTTCAAAACTTTTTCTGTGTTCTTACTTTGAAAATTAACAAGGAGACCAGTGATACCGAATTGTCGGATAGAAAATTTTAGTTGTACTAAAATTGTGGTATTGAATCAATGATTTCTGGAGAACACTGTAGGAAGTAATAGTGACTATTCAGTTTCAGCGGCCTGCGAGTGTGGTAGATCAGTATCCTCAGCTGTTAAATTACACCGGGCGGGTTAGAAAAGGGCAGATTTCCCGTGCCAAGTTTTCCAAACGAACGGCTTCCTTCGGTCTGTGGAGGTGCTGGGGGTACACCCCTTCCGCTACGGAGCATTGGGGCGGGCTCCTGCCGCCAGGGCCGGCTCCGGAGCGGCTCCCCCGCCTCCTCCCGGCCGGGCGGGCCCCGCGCAGGCCGGAGCCGCGGGGTGAGACTGCCGCTCGAACGGGACCGGCCGGGGGAATCCCGGCGGGAGCGGCCCGGGCATCCCCGGCTCGTCCCGGGCATCCCCCGCTCGGGCCCGGCTCCCCCGCTCGTCCCGGGCATCCCCGGCTCGGGCCCGGCTCCCCCGCTCGGGCCCCGCTCCGCAGCGGTGAGGGCGGTGCAGGTGGGCCGGGAAACGCCGCAGGGCCTGGCGGGACTCGCGGGCTCCCCGCACGGAGAGAGGGGAGGGTTCACCGTTCTCTGCCGGCTGCCCCTTCTCCTCTTGGAAAAGAAAGGGGAATTTTACATTTCTCGGGCTCTCCCCCCTTCCTCGTGACCTTGGGAGGCCGAAGCGGCGCCGGTGTTGAACAACTTCCTCGCGGGGAGGGAGCTCTCAGCTCCCGAGACAGCCCTTGTTTATTTCTAACTGCGGGAGGCGAAGCTCCTTATCACAGAGGTTTCAAATTAGAGCACTTTCATAAGCTTGAGCCGCGGGGTTGGGCATGAAGGACTTGTAGATTGTGCCAAGAGTGGACCTCATCTGGTAAAACCCTTCCAGAAAGTCCCTTGACTGATGTTATTTTCAGAGTATTTGCTTTCTGATGAGCAATGATGAGAGGATGCTCATCAAAGCTATTAGCTTTGTCCTGTGAAGGCTGTGAGAACTACTCATAAAATTTGTTTTTTTAAAAAAAATGTTTTTTTCAAGTTGTCTCAGATTTAGTGCCTCAACACTGCTATTTCTATTTTCGTGTTCTCTCCCTTATTTTTTGTAAGAAAGAGATGTTGTAGTTGATTGTTAGCACTGCTCCCACTGCTGTTGTACCGCATGTGCATTTGATTCCTCATGTCCAGTCGCCAGGGTAGCAGACACAAAAACAAATCAGATGAGCTTTGCAGTAGTTTTTGGGGATCCTTGAGAACAAAAGGTCCCAGAGAACCACATCGTTTTCTTGAGAACATAATTTATCAGTCTAGTCAAAAGCAGTGTGGGAGTTTGGGTTTAGGGTTTGCAGCTGTTTTATTTAAAAATCCACTTTCTGCAGATTTAGAGGAGCTCGTGATATTGTAAAGATGTTGAACAGTGTGACAACCTTTCAGTCAAACTAGGCTTTATTTATTTATCCATTTCACCTCCCTCTTTTAATTAAAGGGCATCCCTTTGTGGGATTTAATTTAATTAATTTGTGGGGTTGGAATTGCCAGAACCTGTAGTCCTGGGTCATAGTTGAGCCTTTTGGAGCCTTCCTGCCCAGGGAACATGGAAGACAGCTTTGACTCTGTACTTCTTTTGGATGTAGCAGATGCATTCATATTAATCAGTTATATTTTGAACTTATGAGCATCCTGGTGTTGCCACAATATAAATTTCAATGCTTCAAAGGAACATTACAGCAGAATTACATAAGTATGTCCTAAATAAGAGCCTCTAAACCAAATGTCTTTTATTTAGCTTTTTGATGTGAATTTTTCATGTTTACTGTTTCCTCTGTCAGAGTTTCTTTCCTCTGTTAAGTCAGCTCCCAGTTTCTGAGTGCAAAATATTTGACAGTATATCCAAGGGGAGAGAAGCATCTAGTGGTGCTGGTTCTGAGCATAAGGAGCTTTGAGACTGGCTGATTTCTCAGGAGCAGGAATCAACATTTCAACAGCTGTAAGTATTTTTTAGGAAAACTCCCCTGAAAGTGGTTTCACCTGCATCTGCTTCTTCACTTAATGTAGTGAATTTATGTAGTTCACTCTTCCTCTGGCTTTACCTTAATTTTTTTTTTTGTAGGATGGACTTAGAGCTTCTGAAGAGGCTGCGCCAGGTCAACCAGGACCTTCTACAAAGGCTGAAAATGAAGCAGGAAGAGATCAGAAAGAGACTTCCCAGCAAGCAACTCCTTCCAGCATCTCTTCAAGGCAGTACAGCTGCTGACAGATGTGTCCCCTCGCCCAGGAGAGTGGTAAGTGTGGTGTCTGTGCTAGAAATTCGGGGAAGAAAATGGGATTCTGTGACAGCAGCTCTGCCTGTGGTGTGGTGTGGTCACAAGAGACATATGGATATGAAAGAGCTCTTAGAAATTGGTATGTGGATTATGGAGTCTGTTAAAAAAGTAGCTGCCCTTTGGATATTGTTTGTTCTGTGGTCTCAGTCTGTTCTTCTGGCAAAGGGTTTGGAAATCAGTTCCTGCCTAAGAAAGGCAAGTTTCTTCTTGTAAGATAGGAGTGAACACTGTGGAACAAAGGCTGAAAGTTCATTAGTTCACAAATTTGAGGAAATTTGTGTTTAGCTGGAAGTGGGTCTCTTCCTTACACTCTCCAGAACATAAGGATTTTTCTTTTTCCCCCACAGGAATTTAAAGGAGTGAACAGACTAGAATGAGAGGTTGATTTAGTGAGAGAAATGTTACTAAAAGTATTTGTAGTCTGACTGATGCTATGTATTAAGAGAGTCTCTGTCCTTACAGAAGGAAAATCAGGTTGATGCAGTAAAGTCTGCAGCTGATCCTGGAATAATGGTGATTGTGGAACCCAGAGCTGGCCCCAGTTCATCTCTTAAACACACCAGCAGTGACAGAGGGCTACAGCAACAACAAACAAGGACACAGGAAGGAGCAGGTTTTGATTCCAGCTTTCCTGGGAAAGAGAAGAATGTTACACCAGTGCCTACAATCGTTACGTGTGGCAGAGAAATCTCCAGAGTAGATGAGGATGGCCATGCTCAAGGAAGACCAGAGAAAGAATCCTCCCTCCTGGGACCTGGAGAGAACAGAGAACAGTCTGCTCTGCCACATGGTTCCCATGAGAAAACTCATCCAGGGCCATCACTGAGCAGAGAGCAAAATAAAAAGAGCAGTGAGCAGCACGTGGTCATCGGAGAGCCCCATGTCCCTACATCAGTCCTGCTGACATCTCAGTCCAAAGAGTTGAAGGTAAATGTTAAACCAATGCTTTGCTTATTTTCCTAAGTCAACAGAATGATGGGGAGGAAGGGCCAGGAGAATGTTACCTGCCCTATTCCCACCGTGTAAATTGGAAGTTGGGGTCAGAACTGTTCCCATCTGTAGCAGCCAGGGGCTGTTGGCAGTTTGTTCAGGCCCTGCTTTCCTTAACTAGTGAACTGAAAGACCAGAAATCCATAACGTTTCACTTTGAAGTTCCTGTCTTTTGCATGTGTTATCCACGTGCTGAGGGAGAACAGGCAGGTGCAGTGCTGCTGTTCCACAGTTTGTCTCCTTAGGCATGAAGGGCAGGCCCTGGTTCTGATCATCCTCCAAGGCAGAACAGGTTGCCTCATCTTAGGGGATGTGTGTTGTAGCTCAGCATTTTGTTTAAAGCACTAAAAAATCCTGCCTTACTTGGGCAAGTCCCTGCCTCCTCTTTCTCTTTTGTTTATTGACAAGACAAAGGGCTGCTGAGCAAATTACTGGTAGAGGCATAGATAGAATCCAGTTTCAAACTAAGGCACAGCTGTCCTATCTGAACAGCTGCCACTTGTCCCCTCAGCTGTACCTCTGAATGTCCTGTCAGGTGATTAGGAAGTCACAATTTATGAATTGTTTTCTTTCAGAAGGAAGCTTCTCATGTGACTTCACAGCCTGACCCTGAAGAAGATGCCCTAAGTGTCAGCAGCTGCTCTGCCCATCCTTTCCTGGGCTATGACTGGATTGCAGGTGAATCCTAACTCTGATGTGATGTGGTTCTATTAAGAGTTAAAACACCGTTTATGACCCCTTTGAGGTGTGATGGAACTGCTGTCCTAGGGCCAATGGAGCAAGTCCCAGCAAAGGGACAGCTTTGTTTGAGGCCCTTCTCCAGACTAGAGGTGACCTGTGCTCACCTGGAGTGGTGGAGTGGCAGTGGTATGGGAATCCAGGCAGCAAATGGCAAAGGTGAGGTCAGAAGGGATACCAAATACCTGGAATGAATGAATGCCATAAGGGACCCAAACCACACAGTAAACCTCTGGTTTGATGTGATGTTCTGCCCTTCTCATTATCATTATTTTGTTTTGACTGTATCTTGTGAGTCTTGCTTTGATACTTTCCCAAATTTTGTAAATCACTGAACTTTCCTCTTTCCTTGGTGTTCTCAGGGCTCCTTGATATAAAGTCTTCAGTCACAGAAGAATCTGAGCAATACTTCACTGAGCTGCAGGAGTTCAGACAGTCCAACAGAGAAAGCTGTGTTCATCAGCAGGACCTGGAGTAAGGGGGAATGAGGAAGGGCTGAAGCAGCAATTTTCAATCCCTTAGTAATCCCTGTAGTAATGAGAACCGTAGTCTGATTGGAGCAGGACATTGCAAGCTTAGCTTTGAGGGTCTTTATTTACCCTCCCAGTCATGTGTGCTTGGAAAAGGCAGTGCTGTTCAGAGGGCCAGCCCCTCTGTCACTAACTGGTTTTCTTGTGTGTTTCTTTAGGCCCAAGGCTCTGGATTGCACAGGTCCTGAACAGGAACTGGATTTGATAACTGGTTCTCATAAGTGTAAGATCATATTTGTTCCTACTGCAATTTCTATGAATAAACAACTAAGCAGTCTTTACCTGTCATCCTGAGAGAGCACTACTATCTTACTATCATGTAAGACCAGCAAGAATGTGTTGTTTTCAGCTGCAGCTTTCCAACCAGATTCAACTTCCTACTCCAAAGATACTTGAGTCTTCTAGGGATCCTCTCTCAATGCCATTTTAACTTGTCAGGGTTTCTTGTAATTGGCTAATGCTTTGTTCCTAAATTGAAGAGGTTGAAGTTTTGGTTTTGCTTTTTAGGAACTTACTTGGGGACAGGAAATATGTAAGATATTTCAGGAAAAGCAGCTCTTTTTATAGAATGCAGGTGTGGCACTGTGATAGAACACAGCTTTTCTGGCTGGGTTCAGGCACCTCGTGACAAACAAGAACTACACTGAAGGTTTGTTGCTCCGTGCAGGTGTTTACTGTTACCGATTAAACCAGCGCCTCTTCACCATCCCTGTGGATTCAGAATCTGCCTGCCATGTGTGTAAGATGCCACGTACCCACCAGCCCTCAGGGACACCGGAAGAGCCAACCCATGTCAGGTAAATAAGAATTACTGCTTTGTAAGAGGCACAGCTCAAGGAAACAAGGGAAGAAAAAGCTGATCAGGTGAAGGAGAAAAGAGCATCATAACAGGTCTGTAGAACAGAAGTTCTGCTCTTTCCAAACAGAGATCTCTTGCTTAAAGACTCCTTACTGATCTTCTCTATAAGCATGAACAGTCTTGAAATCAATGACAAATGCATGTTTTGTCTGAATTTGGCCCAGAATCTGAATGTACACGTAAAGTGTCTACTGCCCTAATCCAAAATGGTTCACTTTGGGGCTAGACCCTTGGTTTCTGAGTGGGAAGGCGTGCAGATTCCCTGTGCCTTGGCAGAGGGGTAGGCAGTTCCTTCCCTTGTGTGGTTCCAGGGTCAGCATTCCCAGGTCTGCCCTTTTGCCAGCCTACAAGTACAAAGCCCATCGCAGGAGGAGCTTTGAGCCGGCCGATGATCTAGCACTGCCTTCAGTAAGTCGCTGTCTTCCTGTTGATAGCACTACCCCAGCTGGTCCTTGCTTCATAGCAAGGAGGAAAGAGAATCTGGGACTCATTCCCTTGGCAGAGCTTCCACCTAGAATTCTTGATAAGCATGGGTGAGATACCCAGAACATCCTTTGGTGTGCTCTGAGTTCATGCCTTTGTGTGAGGGACATAAAGTGTATATGATATTTCCAGTGCTTTACACTGCACAAAAGAAAATTCCATGTGGAGCTGTATCCTTTTGGGGCAGATATGCCTGACTTGTTTCAGGCATTGGCCTCTCAACATGATGAAGCACAGCTAAGAGTGCCTCTGTTTGTTTCCACAGATGTTAAGGAGTCTGAAAGGCTCTATGAAGTCTATGAAGTGTTCACAAAATCAGTAGTGGCAAGGGTGGATTTAAAACTGCTGTTGTATTGCTGATCCTGTATTCCAGCCAGTAGTCAGTGCTGCAAGCAGTATTGCTAATCTAACCTAGCCCAGGCCTAGAGATTTCCAGGGAAGAGGTGGGAGGAAGCTTGATTTTGAGGTTTAGGGAACTAGATGAGTCAGCTGAGACAAGTTCAGAGGGGTCAGATACTTGAGTTCATGAAGTGGGAGATCAGTTTAGAAAGCTGAAGAGGGGACAGCTGTGTAGTTCTCATTTATTTGAGATTTCATTTATTTAAAAATGTAAACATTTTAAAAATTTTATTTAAAATAATAGATTAATTACTCACTTAAACCTCCCTCTGCAAAAGTTAGTTCTAAATAATAACAGGCCACAATAGATAAAAAAGGGTAAAGCATTCCCATCTATTTTCACAGCATTGCTTGGCTGGCTGGGAAAACATGGTCCCTTCCAGCAACGCCCTGCTCAGCAGTTTGGATCTGCGAGCCTCACTGGAAGAGAAGCCTTCTCCCTATCCTGTGGTAAGCACAGCCTCCAGAGCCCCAGGAGATGCTGGGAATTCACAGATGGAAATTGTGGCCCTGTCTCTAAAGGGTGTGGTGATTACTGAGGGCTGAGCAAACGAAAATGCCTGGAGGAGTATCTCCTTTACACTACTGGGAAATGTTTTCCTTCTGCTGATTGGTGTGCACAGAGATAAAAGAGCAAGTGGAGCTGAGTTGCAGGCAAAAGCCTGTTCAGCTCACCAGTCTTCATCAAAATGGGAAAAGTCACTTTGGCATTCTTTGATTAATATCCTCTTTATTTGGGTTCCAGGTTCCTGTCCAGGGTGTCAGGAGAAGCCAGAACTGACAAGTTTCTACACCTGCCTCACTTGGCACACCTGAGGTTTAGCAGAGCAAACCAGGACCAAAGACAGCAGCTCTCAGTTCAGAGCCCATTCCCTCCACACTCTGGACCACTGACTTGATTGCCTTGGGAAAGGGATGGGCACAGCACATGGAAACAACTGAGAAACAAAGATATTTGGATAAAAATAAATCTTTGGACTGATTTTCCCCGGTTTTCATAGTCATGCAGTGAGCAGCCAATATACAGATCTGAGTTTGTACAGTCCACTGTGTTCACTTTGCATTTTTTGCCTTTTACAGCTACTTCTGAGCAGCTGCCTGAGCTGTCCCAGCTAGGGCTGGATAAAGTCATGTCCAGGATCAGTAGAGCATCTCCCACCTCAACTGAGTAACCAGCAGTGTAGCATTAACTCTGAATTAATGGTGAGGAACTGGCCTGTGAAGGGCCTGGCTCAGTGCAGTGACACAAATATGTTTATTTCCAAATATTTGAAACATGACACACAATTTTCTAGTGCCTTAAACTTGAGTTCTTCAATAATTTGTAAAAATTTTTAAAGTCCAGTTTATTCTCAGTGCAATGTGTGTAGCTACAGAGTGTGTTACTTCAGAGTAACTTGGAATGTGAAAAAACACCTTAAAGTAAAATGAGATTTTATTCATCAATGAGCTAGATAATACCTTAAAATCTTTGCAAATTTTGCTTGTCTCTACTTTTCCAAGTTTTCTGGAGATAAACCAAAAAAACATTTTAGAACTTTTAAATTGTACCAAACTAAACTACTTCATATAGAATGTGATTTGTTTAAACTTCGTGGACCAATCTTATTTTTCTTGTCTGGAAACAATAAAACTGATGTTTTGTTTTACTTTGAATTTTCTGAAACAGAAATTCCTGCCTCAAACATGTTTTGGGGAGCTAACTTGAGAGAATGAATTTGGTTTGTGCAGCATTTCCAGGGAGAATCAGGACAGGGTGTTGTGGGGGGGGTTTTGGGGTTCTGGGTTTGGAACACTGAAATGTTCTGAGGCTAAGGATTCCCTAAGCCTCAAAATAATACAAATATTGGACTTGATTGTGTAGGCACAGAACTATGGGATAGCTTGTCTGCTCTCCCTGGAGGTAGGCTTGACCTGGATTTATGTTTTTTCCCCATTTCTAGCACTTAGGAACGTGCTGGTTTAATTTGGGAAGCTGTGTATCCTGTGAATGGCTGGCTCTGGGTGTGCTCATCTCAGTTCTCTTCTGCCTGATGTTTTGGTAGTAAAGCTAGTGGTTTAGTTCCCCTTCCTGATCATTACATGTATATAACACTGATTCATGAGATGGGAAATGCAGCTTTGCTTAATGAGGCAAATTAGATGCAGTAAATTACGTATTTGTGATTGATTTGAACAGGGCAGTGTAGTTCAGCTATTAAAATACAGCTCCCACCTACTTCTCAGAACCAGTGTTAGATGGCCTTTAGTGTTTGTTTGCCTTCTCTTGAGATCATTTTCGTGGTGTCTCAGGTTCAGGTGTTTCTTGCTGTCAGTACATTATAAGAATTAATATCAAGAGTTTTGAATTAATGTAGTGCTGATTTATGTGTTCTGTTTTGTTATGAGCACATCAAGCAGTGACTCTCCCCAGAACTCCCAGGTGAAACAGCTGCATGTGGCTTGAACTTGCTTTTTGAATCATTTGCAAACTTTGATTTTGGGGGCTTTCATCTCTTTGGAACTTGTGTTTTCAAAGTCCATAAAAATTTGTTTGCAGAATGTCTCAAATTTGAAAACACAAGAGAAGTTCTGCCCCTTTTCTTTGGAGTCAAACCCCTCAATTGCACCAGCTCCCTGGATAATGGCTAACCTAAACTAAGGACTTGGTTTTCTCCCTTCCATTGGTTTCTGCAGAGCAAGACTGCCAGGCAGAAGAAAAACACCCTACATTTTTAGGGCTGAGATGCTCAAATTAGTCAAAGAAAAGAAGTTTTACAGTCTTGGGAAAACCTACATCCTGAAAATCTTCCCCTTTGATTCTTTCACAAAAATTATTTGATATTTCCCAAGTTTCTTTTGTTCATGTTCACACAGGAAAGTTCATCTGGCTTCTGTTGTTAAGCTTTAAAGATTTAAAACTCAGCTTTTAGGTGAGGAGAACCAGAGTATCAAGAAGGGATATGAGCTACCCAAAAGGTCTGTGACACTATGGGGAACTAATGAGTCCCACTTCTGTGTTTTAACCACCTGGCCAGTCTTCCCCAAACTTTTTTATTTTCTTTTTGGGATTAAAATGTATATAATAGGAGCTCTTGGTGCTTTTTCTAATTGCTTTACCAAGAGCTTTTTCTATGGAGAATGACCATGTGTAAGTATAGCACCCTTCCAGAAGCTGCAGTCAGAATTACTGAAAGTACAGACATGGTGTGATCTCTCATCTAAGGTCATTTCTCTCTCTCCCTCTCCCTCTCTGTCTCTCCCAGCCTGTGGGCATAGTAATTCTGTGATATGGTTTTGGTTTCTTTCATGGAAGCCTCGTCTTTCTTGAGAGAACTGAGTTCTGTGTCAGCTCTTCTCATTTTTCAGTCTGACTCAAAATGTACTTTAGTTTTGATGCTACTATGGGGGCAGTAAAAGACATTTTATACAGATTTTTTTGCTCTTGTTGCATTAGTTATTTTATCCCTTTATGCAAGGCAGTACTATTAGTTGAGATAATGAAAACAAAGGTATAAGATTTTTCATCCACGTAAAATCTTTCTAAATGACATGTAGAAGTGTAAGTGGAACTTAAGACAGGTTATCTTTATTATTAATGTGCTAAACTCTTTTTTACCTGATGGTAGCCAATTTTAAGCCATTGCTACATTTTAACAAGTGTGCAACAAGAGCTTTAAACCATCTTCATTGTTGATGTTAAGACAGCTCTCAGATCATGTTCTCAAGAGCACCTGCAGTGTATTTAACCCATTAAAGTGACATAATTAAACAGATTGACAAATATTTAATACTAAGAATGAGCAGTGTATGTGCCAGCAAATAAATATCAGAACCAGAGTGTCACAGAGGGACAGAATTTTGCCAGTCTCTGGCATAAATGAGGTTCTATTTCTTCTTTCATGTAGGATTTCAAACACTGTGTCAGCTACAGGCAGTTCAAACCCTGATGGATGTGTGATGTATCTCAGTGAGATCCCAGTGCTGCTCTCCCTCCTGTCTGTCCTCTGGGCTATGGAAAGATTTACTGAGAAGTTCAGTGTTTGGCTTTTCTTACAATGCCTAAAATCAGCGGGATCCTGCGTGCTGTGTTGTTATCACAGTGTCACCATCCATCCCCAGTGCAGCTCTTTGATGGCTAAAATGCCTAAATAGATCAAGAAAGGCTGCAAGATTAATTCTTGGCATTCTTCCTCTCAATTTCTTGTTTTCCTTCTTTTAAACATGAGATTCTTTGCACTTTTCATTGCAGGAAATGCCTTAATTTCCCTTCTCTTTTAATTTGTACCCTAAGGTATGTGGTGTGTATCTCAGCCAGCCCTGCTTTTGGTACTCCTGGGGCTCCTCGGGAAGTTTCAAGCTCTGGCATTGTTTCACCTGGCTAATGAGCAAGAATTTGGTGATTTTTTTGTCAGCATACTGCTGACAAAATGCTCTTGATGTTGTTTCACCGGTCCTACAAGTATGAGCCAGACCCAGGTGATTTATAGGGATCCTTGGAGCACACAGGATGCCAGATGGAAAGTGCCAAAGATGCACACAGAACATAAAGCAGGTACAATTTCTGTGTGTTTAGTAAATTAGTATAACTGACAAGAATCCCCAGTTAGAGGCACAGGTCATGAAGTAACTCCTCCCTGGTTCTACCCTTTCTGAAACCCTCCACCCTCTTAGACAGAAACTGAATTTTGTTTATGAAAATGTTTCTCAGAAAGCTGGTTTCAACCTTGGCTCCCAGAGAGTCAAACCTTGAATCCCCAGGGCTTGGAGCCACCAGGGAATTTATTTTGTCTTTTTGTCTAATAGGGTGGGTAAAATGCTAGCTACAAACACAATAACAGGCTACAGAGCTACAAATATATATTTAAAGAATACAGAGAATATATAAAGGCAAAAATCAACTTGGCATCATTCTGAATAGCAGCACTGACAGACACTGAAATAGAGATTTTAGACAAGGTATTTTTAATATGTATCTTTTTAAATTTCGTGGTCTTTTTCATCTGTCTGACAGAAGTTTAGAGATGACACTTGTCATTTTTTCTTCCCTCATACATCTAGATGTATATTAATTAGCTGAACATATGTATTCAAAAGCAGAAGAAACCATGGTAAAAGTACAACATGAGACTAAAATCAGCTACTTCAAAATTAGAGAATGTCATGAGTAGTTTTGCTTGTGCACATGTGTAGCAGTGCTCCTTCTGGAGTGTTCCATGGCCAGGCTCTCCGAGCACAGTGAGCAGACATTTCTGAAGGGATGTTTTGGGCACGTGGTGGAGACTTTCCCTTGAGGCTTAGTTGGGTCTCTGCATTCTCTTGCTCCAGGTATCAAGTGGCATTTGAACAATCCCTGACTTGCAGGAGGTTTTCTGAATGAGTTAAACTAGAAAATGCCAAGAAATCTTGTCTGAGAGCATCACTACCTTTAACACCTAAAGCAAAAACTGTTCCAAATATACATGTAATAAATAAACATTATAAATAATAACAGCATGCTCACAGGGGCTTCCTCTATTTTCCTGACAGATGTCCTTTGATGCAAGAACAGAGAATAAGGGGTTGATTGTTTGCTTCTATTTGTTCTGTGGGGTTTTTTTTTCATATTAACATAGGAGATTATTTTCTAGGAAATGGAGCCACCATGTAGAGAGCAGTAGCGTGGGTTTGTTATAAAATGGAGGTGCTCCTTCCAGTCACTGATAGGACTTCTTTTGGAAAGCCCCTTTTGTTGTATTTGAAATCAAAACACACAAAGTCTGAAAAACTGCATTCACTTGGAAATGCATGCAGGCTGGGATGTTCCTGTGGAATAAACTCTTCACCCTCTTTATTAATGTTGCTTTTATTACACACTTCCAATAACATTTTGTCTTGTAACAGCCTTTCCGAAAAGCCAGCAGCAACAATAAGCACTTTCCACTTCCTATCCTTTTAAATATCTAATGCAATCAAGAAAGAACTTAAGAAGTTCAAGGAAGACTGGCAGCTGGGAAGCCCAGTTTCACTTTGGATGTGAGTTTTTCTTCTGAGGAGCACCCTGGAGCCTTCCCTCAGTGAATGCCATCAGCAACTTAGCCCTTTACCCAAGTCATCTTGTTCCATGGATCTTTGTAGAATTTAATGGTGTTGCTGTCTCAGTCAAATCTGAATTAAGTTATCCAATGGATTTTAAAAATATTGACACCATTCATTGAAAAGGAACTAATATACATGTATATAAAAAATGCTCAGTACGCTTGTTTCAATCTTACTTCCTCTGGAAAACAGGCCAGAAAACTCTCCCTGGTGCCAGTTCTGGGAAAAAAGTCTTTTACACTGAGATTTTTGTACTCACATAAGTGATTGTTGCATCAGATACTCTGACTTCAGCAGGGTAACTTAAACCTTCCAGGCTCTCTATGATGTTGGTGCCTGTCCTTTTGCTAGAAAAACTTGGATAGGGCCTGATAAGAGAAAAAAAAAGCAAAACACAGAGGGGAGGGAAAAAATACAAACAGATCTCATCAATTGTTCTGACTACTGTAATTTGAAACTGCATTAATAAATTGGGAGAATTGCCTAATGGAATATTACTACAGAAGATTAAGGTGTGTTCTAGCCCATTACTTAATTAAGAAAATCATGAATGCAATAATCTGGCATTGAAATTCTTCATTGTCTCTAGACATATAAGGCACAGCTACCCCAAGAGCTTCTGTAGCTAAGAGAGCTTAGGAAGTGAGCAGTGCCCTGGCAGAGTGAGGA